GCTTAGTCGTGCAGGTTGAGCAATAAGCGGGGATCGTGCGGGGAGCCGGCGTTGCCATCGACGGTAGTGGGGGTGGGGGATTACCAGCGTCGCGGGGGGTGCAGGTCGCCATTGCTGGTTGAGCCGGCGGGCTCGGAGACCGCAGGGTCCGCCTGGGCGCCAGAGGAATGGGGCGGGGGTCGGTCCTCCATCGGTTGATCTTCAGAGTCAGGGTGGGCGCCGCGGTCAGCACAGGGGCCTCATGAACGTGCCGGCCTTGGCTGCGGGGGCGGCGGCGTCGTGAGACGCAGCAGAGGGGCGGGCCGAGGCTGGGGGCCGAAGTCGATCCTCCATCGTTATGTCTGTTGAGCCGGGGGGGGCGGGGGCGGGCGTGCGGCAGTCGGGCCCATGGAGACGTCGCCTGTGGGGCGAACAATCTGCTCGGAAGCTAGCCTCTCAGCGGTCAACGAGAGAAGAGGGGAGTTTCTGCATAGTTGGCTGCCTGCCCGGGGGGGGGGGGGGGGGGGCCGCCGCTCCAGGGAAGCAGACGGCCGGGGGGCCACCCTGGGGATGCGCGCGTGCAGGGGGTCGTGGAAGGTGGCATCGGGGGGCAGGGCCCAAGGGGCCCACGTGGCGCCAGCCCCCTCTGCCTGGCGGGCCTCGTCGAGGAGGCCCCGCCGTTCTGCTGGGGTCCGGGGATCACGGGGGCCAAACGGAGGTAGGTGAGATGAGCGTTGGTATTGCGACAGCCCCTGTTCGCCCATGCGGTGCACACCTCGCGCCAGAAGGCCTGCTCCCCTCCAAGCATGGGCGGGGCCGCTCAGCCCATCGGAGGGCGGGGTCTTCCAGGGGGGCGCGCGTGTAGCAAAGGTCCCCGGGGGCGTCGGAACGGCGGGCAGAGGCAGGCTGGGGGGGTCCTCCGTGCCGAACTCGCCACTGGGGCACGCGCCTTGACTCCTAGCGACCGCTGGGTGTCGTCGAAGAGGGCCGCCTCGCTGGGGATGATCGCCGCGGCGCTCCCAGCAGGCGGCATCCTTAGCGCGCGGGGTGGGGCCAGCCAGGGGGGGGCCGCGTGCAGGGGGGCGGGCGGCGCGGCGCGGCTGAGCCGATTGGCCGCGGGGCCCGCTTGGAATGGGAGGGGCGGCGGGGGCAGCGCGGGCGTCGTCGTCCTGGCTGGAGGAAGGGGAGAAAAGCCTTCAGTGCCTTGAAACGGAATGCCTCTCGCGGGGACAACCCCCTTGCAGGGGCCTCGAGAGGTCGAAGCGAGGCGGGAGGCGTCGGCCAGGGGAACAGGAAGGAAGGGCGGGGAGGGTTTTCCGCGTGCCGAGCGAGATGCGCACGCGTCTCGGTGGAGGCCGCCTCTCGAAGGGCGGCAGTCCAGAAAACACCAACGGTGGCGAGGGTGTCAGCCCCGCATTTGAGGCGCTGGCGGACGCCCTGCCGCGCCAGGCGCCAGCCCGCCTGGGCCGCGGGGCCGAGGGCCATCTCCATGGCATTCGCCGGAGGTGGCCAGTGGCTGCTCCGCAGCGGACCACGGGGAGATTCTCGCCAACTGCGCGGGCGACTCGAGGGCGGGGCGGAATCCGTGTCCATCAGGAGCTGAAAGGGCGGCATGACACGCAGGCGCCTCGCCCGTCTGGGAGTCGACGGCCCCCCAGGATGGCGATCGCCACTGAGGCGAGCGCGACTGGGCTCCGCCCGTTGACCAGATGGAGCTGGAGTGCGGCGCCACCGCCTGCAACCTTGGCCCGCCCGCCAACGTGGCGGGCTCCACCGTCGAACGTGATGTCGAAGTGCCAGAGACCAGCATCAAGGTCAGGGACCAAAGGCCGGGGGACAGTGAGTTCTGACCCTGCGACCAGAGCGTCGCGGGGAATCCAGCGGGCACAATAGTGCCGACAAGCCCAACACCAAAGCACAGCCCAATCGGCAGTAGCATCCGCGTCGGGGCGCACGCGGCGCGGGGTGCCAGCAGTTGTCCAGGGCCAACCAGCCAGCCTGCGCGGAGTGTGCCCGAAGGTGGAGGACGCGCTCCCCGCGCGCGGCATCCTGGCGGACGGTGAGCCCGCGGCGGAGGTGGGCCCTCGCGGGCCAGAGAAGGCAGCCACGCGGGGAAGAGCGCGATGCAGCGGAATGCAGCTGGCGCAAGGCTGAAGATCACATGCCCAAAGATTTTCTGCATCCCGGGTCGGCACTGTCCGCTCCTCGCCTGACGGGGGGCTGCGCGAGGCGAAGTGCCATGGGGGCGATGCCCAGGATGGGGCCATTGAAGCCAACACTATGCCAGTAGCTGATCTGGTTGATCAGGGGTGCATGCCTGGGTGTAGCAGCCCCAAAGGAAAGCGCGGCGTCCGCGAAGGACATAGGGTCTCCCGGCTGCCGGACACGGGCCCACGCAAGTGCAACGGTGGGACACCACTGCCACAAGTGCTCGGCCACAGGTTCCCCGAGTCCACAGAGGGGGCAAGGAAGAAAGGGACTGGGGTGGAGTGGAGGGCGACCTGAGGAGGACCGTATTCGGCACTCAATTGAGTCTGGAGGGGAGCCAGCACGGGTGGGAGGACCTCAGTGGGCAGGGCAGCCCACAGGTCGGGACAGGTGCGCCAGTGTCCCATACAAGGCCCGCGCAGCTCAAATCCCGGGCGCATGTGGGAAGTAGTGATCCACACGCGGGAGGAGGGTGCACCGCACGAGATGCATACGCGCGCGGGACGGAGCCAATCAGGACGGTTCCTAGCGGGGCCTGGCAGGCCATTGCAGAGGAACCGGAAAATGTGCATGGCCGCGGTCATATCGCGAGCCGCGGCCAGCAGCGCCCACTCGGCCCAAATGCTGGGAACCTACGCGCGGACAGCACTATGGTGCCGAAACCAGCGTCTCGCCAGGATGAGGTGCTCAGCTACCACACACAGCGCTGAGGGCGCGCCCTACAAATAGGGGGCATGGCGGGCAGGCGTCCGTCCGCGAGGTAACGCAGGTGTCGGGCCGCGCGGAGCGGGGGCATGATGCTGGAGCGCTGCTGGGGGTGGTCCCCGTCCTGCGGGAAAGCACGACCCCATGCGAACAGCGCCCTCAGGGCGTCTGAGGCCTCCGGCCGAGCAGCTGCGGGCCCCCAGAAATCGTTTCAGAGGACGGCCAGGGCGGCGACCGCCCGGACAGACGCGACAAAACACTGAGGAGCACCGGGGACTTGGAACATGGGCCCACGCCCTGGCAACACAGGCAGGTGAAGCCAGTGTGTGTCTGCCACGCCTGGGCGTTCCTCCTCCCCCCCCCCTCTCCCCCCCGTGCCTCGCGGCTCAATTCGCTTTTGTATGTCCTACATGTGCTTATCCGCCAGCGCAGTCACTCTGCCTTGCCACCGACGCAACAATGTGTCTGCCACGCCCATGGCAATGGCGAGGGTCCTGCGAGCCGTGCCAGCGAGTCGCGCGTCAAGCTGCGCGGCGTGTGCCTCTTCCTCCTCCTCTCGCTGCTCCACCTCCTCCTCCTCCTCCTCCTCCTCCTCCTCCTCCTCCTCCTCCTACCCCCTCCTCCATCTTTACCTCCTCCTCCTCCTGCTTCCTTCTTCTTCTTCTTCTCCTCCTCCTCCTCCTCCTTCTCCTCCTCATTCCTCCTCCTCCTCCTGCTCCTTCTCTTCCTCCTCCTCCTCCTTCTCCTCCTCCTTCTCCTCCTCCTCCTCCTCCTCTTCTCGCTCCTCCTTCTCCTCCTCCTCCTCCTTTTCGCCCATCCTCCCGATCCTCCACCTCCCCATCCTCCCCCGTTCTCCTCCCCCGTCCTCCTCCTCCCTCCTCCTCTCCTCCTTCTCTTTCTCCTTCTCCTTCTTCTTCTTCTTCTTCTTCTCCTCCTCCTCCTCCTCCTCCTCCTCCTCCTCCTCCTCCTCCTCCTCCCTCCCTCTCTTCTCGCTCCTCCTCCTCCTCCTCCTCCTCCTCCTCCTCCTCCTCCTCCTCCTCCTCCTCCTCCTCCTCTTCCTCCTCCTCCTCCTCTTCCTCCTCCTCCATCCTCCTCCTCCTCCTCCTCCTCCTCTTCTCGCTCCTCCTCCTCTTCTCGCTCGCTCGCTTGCTCGCTCGCTCCTCCTCCTCCTCCTCCTCCTCCTCTTCCTCCTCCTCGCGCACTGGAGGCCTCGCGGCGGTCTGGCCGCCGAAGCCGCAGCGCGCGCCCGCGCCCGCTGCCGCGCGCTGAAGGCGCCCCCAGATATGTACCGAGCACGCGCATCTCCAGGAGCCTCAATCGGTCCGCTGAGCCAGGAGGTGGGAGCCTCAGGAAACAGCCTTTGGACCCAAGAACCCCCGCTTCCTCCTCCTCCTCCTCCTCCTCTCCTCCTCCTCCTCCTCCTCTCCTCCTCCTCCTCCACCTCCTCCTCCTCCTCCACCTCCCCATCCTCCTCTTCTTATCGCTCTTCCACCTCTTCCTCCTCCTTCCCCCTCCTCCTCCCCCTTCTTTCTCCTCCTCCTCCTCCTCCTCTTCTCGCTCCTCCTCTCTCCTCCTCCTCCTCCGCCTTCTCCTCCTCCTCCTCCTTCCTCTCCTCCTCCTCCTCCTTCCTCCTCGTCCATCCTCCATCCTCCTCCTGTTCCCTCCTCCTCTCCTCCTCCTCCTCCTCCTCCTCCTCTCCCTCCTCCTCCTCCTCCTCCTCTCCTCTCCTCTTCCTCCTCCTCTTCCTCCTTCTCCTCCTCCTCCTTCTCCTGACCCTCCTGCTCCTCTCCTCCTCCTCCTCCTCCTCCTCCTTCCTCCTCCTCTTCTCGCTCCTCCTCCTTCTCATTATCCTCCTCCTTCTCCTCCCCCTCCTCCTCCCCTCCTCCTCCTCCTCTTCTCGCTCCTCCCTCCTCCTCCTCCTCCTCCCTCCTCCTCCTCCTCCTCCTCCCACTCCTCCCTCCTCCTCCCCTCCTCCTCCTCCTCCTCCTCCTCCTCCTCTTCCTCCTTCTCCCCCTCCTCCGCCTCCACCTCCTCCCTCCCCTCCTCCTCCTCCTCCTCCCTCCTCCTCCTCCTCCTCCTCCTCCTCCTCCTCCTCCTCCTCCTCGGCCTCCTCCTTGGGCCGACCGCGCCACTCACGCGCTGGGGAGCCGAGCCCCCGCGGGCGGCCGCAGCGCCGCGGCTGCTGCCGCCGCGGCCTGCCGCTCGGCGAGCAGCTCCCGAGCCTCTGCGCGAGGGCGGTGCCCAGCGCACCGCCCGCCCCATCGTAGAGAACAGACGGTCCACCCTCATAGTCAGCACCCCGAGAAGCGAAGCCGTTTAGCAAACGCACCCAAGGAAAGGGGTCGAGCAGGGCAGGGCTGCTTGGTAAACGCTCAGGGCCGCTCAGGAAACGCCAGCCGTCGGGGTCAGGGTGGTTGTTCCTGCCTTGACCTCTGCCCCCGGCTGCCGCTGGTGTGATCCTTTTTGTTGGCCGCCGGAGCTTCCCTGGTATGGGACCTGCTCTAGAACTTGAAAGCGACGTACATAGACGGATCTGCCCTTCCTCCGACCTTGTACATCGTCGAACGCAACGGCCGCGTCGTCCGTAGACGTGTCCACTCCGACTGTGTGTGTGTGTGTCTCTCTCTCTCTCTCTTTATGTATGTGTTTATATATGTATATATACACACGGCGTACGTAACGACACCCAATGTGTACCAATGGACGCCTGTGGCTAGAACGTGAGAGCAGCATCTGGTATAGGCCCCAGATATGGGTCGTCGAGAAGCAAATGGATTTGGTCCCCCACATCGTTCCTCGACCTCGGCCTCTGTCGCTCGCCTTCTGGCCCGAGGGGGGCCATCACAACTGGATCTGGAGCGAGAGACGACCGCCGGGGGAAGCGGTCGGGAGCTCCCTTGGACCGCGTACAGACATAAAACAGATCGGCGGATGTGTCAGTGGTGCTGCTCATGTGGGCGCGGGTTGCGAGTGGGCGGAGAGGTTGGCAGAGTGAAAATATCGGCTATACGCAAGAGTGATCCTGGGCAGGAGTCACCTTTGGTGCGCGGGGGGACCAAACCCAAGCGCGCAAGACGTTACTATCGCATCGCACTCGGCGATCGGGGAGCCCCACTGGGCGGTCACCAGAGGTCACTCCGGTGAAAGGTCACTCTTACGTGCAGAGTGAATGAGCACGAGGAGGACAGGGAGAGCACGCATGTGCCCCCGACGCAAGCAACCCATCGGCAACCGCCACGTCGAGTCTGAGTGCCCCCCCCCAAAAAAACAGCGGCCGGACGGGAAGGGAAGGCAGGAGCAGTCGAACCGAGTCGGTCTCATGGGCGCTTTTCTGTGTATCCAAAGCTCGTGGCACAACAGCGCCTGGGAGGGCGATGCTCCACCGTGAACGAGCTACAGAACCCCCTCCTTCTTTTTTGGGGGGATGCACCGGCTCGAAGGCGCGGATGCGGAGGAGGATGAGGAGGACGACGACGACGACAAAGAGCTCGACGACGAGGCCGAAGGTCCAGGCGGATGAGGAGCAGGAAGACGCGCGAACACTCTTAGGAATCACCTGCTGCTTGGGGATATGTACTGACTCTGGCTATAAGGCTATAGTCCCACCAGCCCTCTGGGCGTAGGTGGTCTAGCTCCTCGTCCAAGCCCCCTCTTCCCCTTCGGAGAGGGGTTCATCACTGTTCTCTTTTCATTTTCACCCCCTCCCCCAGGCGACCGGCGGCCAACAGGAACCATGACCACGCCCTCTCATATTCCCTGTCAACAAACGATGCAAAACGCACTCTGCCTCCATATTTGGAGCATGCGCGGCCAACCCGGTGCGTCCCCCCACCATCCCTGTTAAGCAACAATGCAAAGTACAATTTGGGGCAAAGTCTTGAATCATGTTCGTAGGCCCGCGAGCACTTTGTATTTTGACAAGGACGGCGGCATATTGCCTGCTGTGCGCAGGGCTACCGCCCCTGACAAAGAACAACACAACATGAACCTCGCGGCTAAATCTGGATCATGCGCAGCCACCCCGCGATGACTGTCAAATGGTTTTGACAGGGACGGCGGGGGTGGTGGCGTATGGCCTGCTGTGCGCAGGCCCACCAGACACAATGATGGGCATTGGTTTTCGGTAAGGATGGTGGGGGCCGACATGTTTCTCGATGTGTGCTGTCACGTGCGCAGGCACACCTGACACACTCTGCACGTGCCCCGAACGTGGCGCACCCGGCGCGGCTGGAGTGTGCGGCGCACCTGGCGCACGCGGAGCACGTGGCGCATCTGGCGCACCTGCCATGCCTGGCACGCTCGGGCCGCACGGGTGCCTGGTGCGCATGGCGAGCCTGGCACGCGTGGCGCACCTCGCCCCAGCCTCGCGCACATGGGGTCGGTGTTGGTTCCCCAGTAGCTGTCCATCCAAAGACGACCGCTGAACATGCTGAGGCTCGGGTGTTACTCATGTGTTGGGAGTGCGGGTGGGAGTGAGCTAGACGGCTTGCTATCCACGGGGTGTCTTGATCACTGTTCCCTATTAGTACACACCCCCTCCCCCACCTGGCTGGCGGCCAACCCGGAGCCATGCCAACCCCATGAGGGCCCCCCCCCCATCCCTGTCCCCTCCCATCCCTGTCGAAACCAATGCAATACAACACGCGTTCTGCCTCCACATTTGGAGCATGCGCGGCCAACCCGATGCGCCCCCCCCCCCCCCCCCCCCTGTCAACAAACAATACAAAGTACAGTTTGGAACAAAGTTTTGAATCATGTTCGTGAGGCCCGCGAACACTGCTTCTGAAAATGATGGTGGGGGTGTCAGCAGGTTGCCTGCTGTGCGCAGGGCTACCACTCCTGACAAAAGAACAATACAAAATGCACCTCGCGGCTAAATCTGGATCATGCGCGGCCACCCCGCGAACACCATCAAGTGGATTGTGACAGGGACGGCGGGGGTAGTGGCGCGTGGCCTGCTGTGCGCAGGCCCACCAGGCACAATGATGGGCATTGGTTTTCGATAAGGATGGTGGGGGCCGACATGTTTCCCGATGTGTGCTGTCACGTGCGCAGGCGCACCTGACACACTTTGCACGTGCCCCGAACGTGGCGCACCTGGCGCGGCTGGAGTATGCGGCACACCTGGCGCACTCGGAGCACGTAGTGCATCTGGCGCACCAGGCGTGCCTGGCACGCTCGGGCCCCAGGGGTGCCTGGCGCGCGTGGCGCGCCTGGCACGCGCGGCGCACCTCGCCCCAGCGTCGCGCACCTGGGTGCGGCTTTGGTTCCCAGTAGCTGCCCATCCAATGACGACCGCGGAACATGCTGAGGCTCGGGTGCTATGTGTTGGGAGGGCGGGTGGGAGTGAGCTAGACGGCTTGCGGGCGGGTGGGTAGCCTGACCCCGCCCCCTACCCCTCCCCTTGATCTGGACGGGGGGGGGGGGCGGCGGGCAAATGGAGCGTCCAAGCTGGCCCAAGACGGCCGCAAAAAGGCCCCTGGGAGTCCCAGATGAGCTCCAAGACGGCTCAAGATAGCGGACGATGCCTCAATGTGGCTTCCAAGATGCTCTAAGAAACGCCAAGAAAGTTCCAAGACGGCTCCAGGATGCCTCCGAGACTTCCAAGGACGCCCCCAATAAGCCAACACCTTTCAAACACCAGAGGACAATCAATGATTTTTGCTTTCTCGCCTTGTCGCTTCCGATGGCCATCCGAGGCCTCAAGGCGGCTCCAAAATGGCCCACTCGAGCCCCAGGAGAGGCCCAAGAGAGCCCCAAGGCGGCCCCAAGAGAGCCCAAGAGCGCCCCAGCGCTTTAAGAGGGGTCCAGGAGGCGATTTTCGGTGCTCCCGAAGGGAGAAGCTAATTGACGCTCCCCCGTTCTTTGATCGATGTCCTCCAGAATGGCCCCAAGAGCGCCCCTGAAACTCCCAAGAGCGCCCCAAGAGGGCCCCAAGAGGCGCCCATACGGCCCCAAGAGGCCTCCCAAAGGCTCCAAAGAGACCCCATACGAGGCCTCGAGATGATCCCCGAGGTGCCCAAGTCTACCCCCTTTTCCTCCTTCTCCTCCTTGTCCTCTTCGCCCTCGCCCTACTCCACCTCCTCCTCCTCCTCCTCCTCCTCTTTCTTCATTCCTCTTCCTTCTGAATAACTTCTGCCTGTCGCATCCCGAGGCCAATTTTCAGGGCGGGCCGGGCGTTTCGCCCGCGCCTTCCTCACCATTTATGATTCTGAAGCTCGACACTTGGCAACGGTTTCACACATGGAGGGCGGGTGGTTCTCGACATGTGGCTCTCGCCGTAGCGCCGCGCACATTCGTTATAAGAACTTGCAGGAATTTCACGGATTGAGGACGGATGGTTTTCGACATGTGGCTCTCGCCTTAGCGCCGCGCACATTCGTTTTAAACATTTGCAGGGGTTTCACGGGTTTGGGGCGGTTCCTTCTCAAAATGTGGCTCTCGCCTTATTAGCGCCGCGCACCTTCGTTATACAAAACTTGCAAACTATTAGCGGGTTTAGGGCAAAGGATGATCAAACTGTGGCTTTCGCTTTAGCGCCGCGCACACTCCTTTTGAACATGTGCAGACATTTCACGGATTGAGGGCGGATGGTTTTCAGAATGTGGCTCTCGCCTTAGCGCCGCGTATATTAGTTTCACACCGTTGCAAACGTTTCACGACTTGAAAGCTGTTCCTTTTCAAGCTGTGGCTCTCGCATTAGCGCCGCCCACACTCGTTAAACACACGGAGTAGCTTCACGGAATCCCGTGATCAACGTACCAGCCATCGTGTTTTGGAAGGGTTCAGGGTTAGGATGGTGCAACAATTACCTTGGTTCGCGGTGAAGTCCCAAGAACGGCGTTCTGGCACGATTCAGGGTCGTCAAGGCGCAACAGTCAGGTTGATCCGTGGCGTTGAATCCCGAAAACAGTGTTTCGGCATGCTTCAGGGTCTTCGAAGGGTTGTCTTCCAACGAGACAGTTCCCTCAGTGGAAATGCACCGTTGTAGGGGCCTATGAAGAGGCAACTTGGAGGGAGGGCTTATTCCAAGATCGTTGGTGACTCTTGGGTTTGAACTGGTCCTCTTCCTCCCTCCTCCGACGACGGCGACGACGACGATTCCTCCTCCATCCACCCCCTCGTGGGGTATATGACGGCTTCCCCCGCCTTTTGTTCTTCTGCATGCTCCCCCACTTCCCTGATCACCTCAACTCCCCTGGGCGTCGTTTCTGGATTGGCT